TTTTCCTGAAGAGGTCAAGCTTCAAAGCCTTAAAGAAACATGGTGTTATTAATCAAATAGTGGACTCCTATTGCAACAGAGGGAAGTCCATATTGTTTCAAAGCATGATTATTATATATATTTTTAAAGTGTCATTCTGCTAGTTTATCGATGGTACTGTTTGTTTGACTTTGACATCACTTTTCTGTACAACAGTCATAGTTGTTGCACAGTCTTTGTGAAATTCCACTGCCGTTTACTTGGATGCTTTTTCTTTTCTAGAAAAGGTTCCTCTGAAACTTGAAAATGCACGACATGTTTTTTGGGAGTGCTGAAATGATAACACAGTAGTTGTGAATTGGTATGTCTTTTACCTTAGGCAAATACAGGGTAATGAATAATAATGAGTCAATTCATAGTGATTGTAGTCTTGGTTTTGAAGGCTTTTAAGAGTGATGGTGTCCTAGGTAGTCCTGGTTTAACTTTTGTCAGACCGGGCATAATAGCTAAATCATATATATTTTCCATGTGTTCCCTGTGTTGTTCAGTTTCTTTGGTGTGTTGAAGCATAATCTTTTATTAGAGTTTCTAGAAGTTTATATATATTTAATGGAGCGTTTTGGACTCCTAAATTGTGTAATTCAAATACTGAATTATGTTTATGTACTTAAAATGAATTTAAACATCTATATAAAGGAATTATGATCATTGTGTAATCAATTGAAAGAAACAAAATGCATAATGTTAACAAGTTATGAAATGTTGAATAAATGTGTAAGATAAGGCATTTTGATCAACATTTCAATTACTGATATGTTTAAATAAAAACAAATTCATAAAATATCTCGAGGAGTATAGTAAGATTTGGAGAGAGTTATAAAAGGGAAGGAATGGATTTTGTTCTGTGCCTTGTGTGACTTTCTTGCACTTGTTCTTGGGCGATTTTTTTTTTTTTTTTGAAAATTAAATGTTCCTGGTGAATCTGAAACATGAAATCTCGACCTAATAAACCAGAGCCAGTTTAACAGAGCGATTCTGGACCCAAGACCACTTTTCTAGCCCGGCAACAGATGCGATCACATATCCAATAGACAGCCTAGTCCATGTTTTTGAGATGGAAAATGTTAGCATTCACATCGACCTAATTACATACCATGATGTACGATACTGCTGTAGAATTCCCCTGATTTTCTATGCTTCTATCATGATAGCCAGGGTTCTAGTTATTGTTGGCTACTTGGCTTCATGTTTGCAAGGTTATCTGGGTCCATGAATCAGAAATTAAAATTTGGAGCTAAAGCAGTTGGTTCTCTGCAAGATAAATGCAGTGGAACTGTTACAAATTACACCGGCATAGATTCATCAACATGAGGCAGACAGCGCAGTTAAAAATGCCGACGTGGTTAAGGCAAAGCCTTCAACAAGATGTCCTAGTTAAGATGCTGGATAGCAATGGCTCATTGCCAAGACAAATTTCTTATGAAACCGAGCAAAAGAGAGTGGGGGGCCGGAATACAGATGCTCAAAGCATTTCGTTAAGTAAGTTAACAGGGAATTATTTTGGAAGCAAATCGCTGTCTTTATTTTTCCTCGAACCCAAAAAAGGAAAAATTGGAATGCAGGCTTAACTCTTTTTAATAGGGTGGCCCATAATTTGTCTAGATTAAACCAATGATGAAGCCCAAACTCCAAAATCCGAAGTTGCAAAATCCAGCCCACAAAATCGGGTTGTCACCTTCTTCTCAACCCGATTCTCCGCGAATCCTAACCCTAGAATTTTCAATTACGTTCGATTTAGGGTTGGTTCTTTCCTCAAAAGCTCAATCTTTCCCTCTAATTTCCCCCAAAAGCTCCAATTTCAAATTCTTGTTGAACAAAACCAATCAAACACTTCAAATTTCTCAAAACCAAAACCCCCTAAAAAAGAAAACTTAAAAGGAAAATGGACGACATCGAGGACGATTCTAGATGCCCAACCAAACCCTACTCTTTTAATCGCCTAAAACACCCTCAATATCCACGTTCGATTAGAACTCGCCACGTATACAACTACCGACCAGAAGAAGAAGACGGTGAAGAAGAAAACGACGACGTAGAGGACGATAACGACGATGACCCTGATGTTTATTACCGTCGTTTTAAGGAAAGCGAGCGTTTTGAAAGGTACCCAAAGCGGCAAAAGCTGAGAACTTCAGCTCACAGCTACCAATTCGCCGCTGATCATAGAGATAGCTTCACAAATGCCTATGATTGGACCCAGCAAGAAATTTATGTTTTGTTAGAAGCTTGGGGAGATAGGTTTCTACAATTGGGAAGGAGGAGTTTGAGGGGTGAAGATTGGGTTGATGTAGCTGAGAAAGTTAGTGATGCTTTAAAAAGTGAGAAAAATGAAGGGCAATGTAGGCGAATGATTGATGGGCTGAAGAGGAAGTTTAAGAAAGAGAAGTTGAAAGCTGAAAGAATGGGGTTGAATTCGAGTAAATGGGTGTTTTTTAGGAAAATGGAGATGCTAATGGGGTTGGGTTCTTCATTTAGGCAACCAGAATCAGGGTTGGCTTGTGGAGTCGATTCAGGGGAGTTTGTTTTCATGAATACGCAGGTTTATTTGGATAGGTCCAATGGTTTTGATGAGATGAGGGATAGTCCTGCAGAGTCAGAGATGATGGAGGATGATGAAGAAGAGGAGGATGGAAGGTCGAGGATGAGAATGGAAGGGAATGATGAGCATTCAATGAGGATGTTGGCGGATTCAGTGCAGAGGTTTGGGAAGATATATGAGAAGATTGAGAGTAGTAAGGGGGAGCATATGAAGGAGTTGGAGAAGATGAGGATGGATTTTCAGAAGGAGTTGGAGGTGCAGAAGAAGCAGATTTTGGAGAGGGCGCAAGCAGAGATTGCAAAAATAAAGGAAGAGGATGATGCTGATGATGAGGAGGAGAGTGATGACGATGATGAGGACAATGACAATTCCACAGAAAATATCAGCGAATAGGTTTTTTGGTGTGTACTTATTGTGTATATTTGTTTTTGTAGTTGACATATCAAAGTGCTTGCTGTAATTATAGACCATTTAATGTTGGAGATTCTGTTTCATTTGTTTCTCCAGTTCATATTTGTTAATTATCGCTTTGTGTTGATTTGTTAGTTTTTCCTAGGAGAAATACCAAAATAGGGAAAATTCATAGCATACCTTTTTTTACATAAAAGTATTCCTATTATTTGCTTTTTTTAACTGAATTTCCTTTGTTTGGATTGACACTCAACACTGCCCTTTCCTGATAGCAGAGGATTCCTTTGTTACTAATAGATAGAATTATGATGCTTTTCTAGTGGTTTTCTTTATTGGGAACTCAAGTTTGAATGTAGCTCAATAGTGGATTGGATTCACCTTAAGCTGATTGGCCTGCAGTACATTACCAATCATTATACCTGAGTGCCAGTCCGTAACTTGTACGGGAATTCGCAGAGTAGAGTAGATGATTAGGCAATAGAAAACAATGTTGAGTTTGAGCCAAAGGCCTGGCTTTTATTGTTAGCAATACACCTTGCTTTTTAATCTTAATATAAGGAATAGATTAGGTGTCTAGATAGTAAAAATCTAGTTGAAATTGAAATGAATAGGAAGCTTATATTAATAGTCCCATAAAAATACACCTCGTTCTTGAATTCTTCTCTTTTTTTCCTGTTTGTGTGAAATAGACTAGTACTTATCCTATTGACTCTTC